CTATCAATTTCTCGCTCGGACACAACCCCGTCTGAATACAAAAGATACTCCAAGTCACTTCGCTTCACAAACTTCACACACACCGATCTCCCCAAAGGCAGTCTAAAACCGCAATGGTGGCAGCCGCATTGAGTTGGAACAAAGTTAAATGCTTATCTTCCGAGATTCCCCAATTCGATACTACTCCATCGTCCGGCCTCGAAAAGGAGACTCAACGTGAGAATGTAAAGCTTTCGCATTATCTTGTTTCCCAGACAAGATGTTACCAGCGAGCTGGCGGACATCCAGTACAAAGTCAGAAGACTTTTCCAGAACACTGACAATCGTCATGTCCCCTCTGCCGCCAAGTAGAACGGGCGGCCAATCTGAATTGATCGCTAATCAGACAAATATTTAGGACGAAACTGGGTGCAGCAAACGCTTTAGTACTTGTGTCTAGGAAATACGAACCACGCTTGATCTCGACTTTATCATAATCAATCGACCCACCTTCACCAAACTGCGCTATCTGAACAAGAAAGAACAAAAAAACCCTACCACAACCGGATGAATAGAGAGATATACGAAAGTCACATTTACTTTCAATGACATGGTATTCACCAATTGCAAATATCGGTTCTTCATTCAGAAGGAATGGCGAAGAGGAGGTTTTAAAAATAAATAACTAAAATAAGGTCTAAAATGTTTTGGATTGCAAACATAAATAATGTACAGAGTCCCTGCGTGTGCGCATTTGTCCCGGTCGCTGGAGGAGAGCACTCCCAACACGGGCAGCTGTTTGTCCACGCCTACATTTTCAGATTTCAGAATCACGGGGGATCAGGACAGACGGGCGTGCTCATTTTTAGTTGTATTTTTTGCGAGGGATCCTGGTTTGGTGAGCTGAATAAACCGCGATGCAAATTCGATGAGATACATGGTTTCTGGACGTACGTAATGGAAGCTGATAGTCCGAATTGAAGTCGGTATCCGCTGTGAGGAGGAAATAAGGAGGTTATAGAAAAGACTGTCACCCCACATGAACATGCATAATTATGCGTGGAGGGTAGAAAAGGGTTTATAATGTCCGTGCGTGTGTATGGCCTGGCAGGCCATGTAAACTATGGAACACAAATCACAAACTGCTCTCGTTACACAGACATCTTACTGGTCAGAAAACACATCTGTTAGCCTATGATGCGAGAATGAAGACTGTCCCTTAGTAAATGCAAACGCAAGGACTTTTAGCGCCCACTGAAGTGGTCGTTGTGCATCTGGTCACAACGGTGCATAGGCGGGTACTGACGTCACCCAGGTCGTTACAATTTCTAGTAATCTGTGACTTACTTCCTGTCTGCGAGCGATAATAAAAAAATCTGAATTTTGCGAGGTGTTATACTACGGTTGGGCAATTCGAACCTGCACAGCCCGATTCCCTCAGGCTAGACAGAACCCCTCCACCTGGACAATGTTACTAGTATAACAGTTGACCTAGTCGTGACAAAATGCAAGGTTTCTCTTAGTGGAAGCTCAGAGTTTCGCGACCCACCCAGAGTTCCTTTCACCTTCTCATAAATCTCCTTGTCAAACGTGAAATATATTTTTATGAAGAATTCGGCTAGCGAAATCTTGAGGGAGCTCTGCGTTCACCCGCATCTCTCTGTCAAGTTCTCATGCGAGACACGGTGAGCTAAACTAGATGGATGTGAACAACCATTTCACATTAAGGGAGACCGTGACTTATTCTGTCCGGATACTTAGGATTTGAGAGTTTTCAAACAATCTCCTTAATGAGTTCTACGGGTATCTGAAGCACGACCAGTTACCTACATACAATAACCTTCGTGAAAAAAAACGTACCCATAGGCGCTGCTTTTCAGTGATGGTCGAAAATGCACTTCCTGAGAGCCACCTAGTTTTCTCAAATGTCGATTCCGGACTGACCCAATTGAACTTGTATTTCTGTAGATGGTCAAAAGCGTCGAAGAGCTTTACACCAACCGCGACACCACAGACGCCTATGGGATAACAAGAAGTTTGGAATAATGCATCATACAGAGTATAGAGGAGACAACGTGGAGTATGGAAAGTGCTCCTGGCGGCTGAGCGTCGAATCATCAGACGTAGTTTAATAGGTGGTTATGCCTATTGGGCATCGTGGAAGCTGATTTTATTCAAAGGTGAAAGATAGGAATGACAGTATTATTATTTTTTGGATTTCGAACCAATTGTAGGGTTCACCATCAGACAAATGAGGGCACAAGACAGCAAACACTTCAACCAGCTCTGACGTATGTCCCTGTGACGGGTTGAGTTTACCCGATATTAGCCACTTATCGTGACAATGATTTGCCTCCTTCCATGTGGTAGGGTCCAGCTGGAGGAGGGATGCGTCCGATATACCTTCTGTTCAATTTGTAGCCGAATTTCCACACCTCAATTACATCCTAGGCTGCCTCATCATTGGCTCGACGATTATCGGCCGGGGAGTAGGATGATTTAGCTATACACCGCAAGCAGTCGTAAGACATGAGAGGTCTTCCCACCGAAGGGCCGTATTCTGCCCGTGCACCCTATTCTTTAGTTATCGCGATTTTGCCCCTGGATAGGTACAGGAACAGCACACACACAGAGCGCGTAGATATCATCCGATTGTTCATTTCTACATCGGTTTCCCAATGTCCAGATTGATTGGTGCTTGTGAACATCACGAAATGGGAGGTCACTCTCTCTAGAGACGCCACTTTCCATGTAGACAAACATGCTGGAGGAATGCATTTAATGGTGCCGACGAAAGAGCATTCTGGAGATGGAGCAAAAGAACACATCGGAGGGGAAGAAGTCGGCGCGGAATCTGATCGAGGCATGGAGTCAGTCCACTGCAGACACACGACAGTTTGACCGTCGAACTCGATGACTTCTAATGCGTGCACCACGTCGTAAGCGCTGCACCGATGACGCGCGGATGCATTAATTCATAGTGAGGCAGACTTGCGCAGAATGCTGCACACTCCCTCTACTTTCTTATCCAGTTTACTACGATGGGAAGATGATCGAAGGTGGGTAAGTGCGTAGCGTTTAACAAAGATGAACATCGGGTCAACGGGTGCCACACGAAAACTCGCCCTCGACGAGTGTGCCAGGTTTTCATGGGACTGGCTCGGAATTCACATGAATCGTAGTGTCATAATGACCACATCAAGAAGGAGCCATTGTAGCCTGACTTTCAGCCCTCTAGTTACAGGAAAATACTCTCATATGAAAAGGATGGTCCTGTCCGTTGGCAGCCTTTGCATTCCGTTTGGATAGACTCAAGCGCCTCAGCTTTAGGCACTGACTGATCTCACGAAATACAAATGGAAAATCAGAAATGCGTTTTCTATTAAGAACAATTAGTTAGGTGAAGCTGTACGGTGGATTATCATGCGATGCAAACCCGTAATATACAAGACACGTCAGGTTGATGGCTTTTGAACGCACGTCTTTTCGGCCACCTGCAAAAACCGCAGTCGGTAAAAATGACTACTTATGTAGTGTGTATTTCCTATACATATTTTCAATTCACTCATAAATTCGAAAGTCAGTTGCAGAAAACACGCACATGGGACCAATAAAATGGCCTCCCCACTACTGGAAGTAGATGTCCCCGCTACGCACATCTTATCACTAATTAGAGATTTGTCTTAAACAAACGAGAGTTCCCCAGATATAAACGCATAAAAATCCCAGAAGGTGAAATTAATGTATCAAATGATATTTCGAGCAATCCGGCCATTCCTCTCCACATTAGACATTCTGGTCTGCCGCGTCACAAACAAATGCACTCAGAACAGATATCGACGTTCGAAATGACAAGATCACACTAAGTTGGCTAGTCTGATATGTTTCGAACGTCCCGTGAAGACGATTGTTAGAAAAATTAGACTTCCAGTACTGTGGAAATGGCCGCCGACCTGCATTTTAGCCTTAGTTGGATAAACTGACATTGTACGCGAGGGGCATAGATCACGGTGTTTGCACTTTGATACCTTCTTCTCCCCAAACATCTATGGGCGTCTCACAACAGCAAGAAAGCATTGTTAAGTCAGTGATCAAACCGTTTAAACATCTCGCGATTGAAGAGAGTAGCAGAAAGCCAACAGTGAGATATGCCTGCTTTGAGAAATTCTCTGCTCTCAGTTCAAAGGGTATTTTGCTATTTCTAACTCTCACACAATGATTGTCTGTGTGCACGCAGTTTTCAGCACGTTGCTTGGCAATTACGGGGTCATAGAAGATAGTCTTATCGACTCAGTATGGTGTCCAATCGAGGTCTTCTTGTCGAACACGGCAACAGATGATGGACGAATTCTCCCTTTCCAACACCCACAAATATCAACGACTTCCATAAATAACTTTAAATAGGGTTATGCTATTGTCTGAAGTGGGGTCGAGGGGTGTATATATAAAAGATAATGGAATGGTCGTAGTGGTCTTACTCATTTTTACATCTTCCTTGTCCTCATCGTAGGTTGGACAGGTTGGGTGTTTGTCGATTGCTTTCTCAACCAGTAACTTCAGTGCTCCACGCGAAAGGACGTATCCGGCGCCTCCCGAAAAGTATCCGTCTTTTTGGAATCTCTACAATATAATAATTTATCTCAAAATAGGCTCCTTTGGTGAATTCAGTGAGATCGCATGTTTATCAAATAACTCTCAGTGCACAAATGTACGTGTTTAAATCCGAGCACAATGCGACAGAAAAATGCGGCAGTTATTTTTGACAAATAGGATTTAACAGCTGATAATATGGTTTTCAGTCGTTCGCAATAATACCGTAGATTAGTGAGGATCACAGAGTGCACGCTTGTTTGCAGATTGGTATTCAAGTTTTGTTTTCAATCTATATTATCGAACAGCTGACGTGGCTCATCTACTTTCTGGATACCCTAAATACAAATGCATCACGTCTTAAAATACGCTTTTTTTCCGGTGCAAGTTTAATAATAGTAACCTATAATTTCACGACCAAATGCAACCATCGTCTCTAGCATGGAGATCAAATGTAATACTGGCAGCCCATGTTCTGTCTCCCGTCCACGACTGATCGCTGCACACTACTGCTGTGTGAGCATAAGGGCTATATTCAAGCACAGGGTGTCCTGCGTCCATTTATTGGGTACGCCGTGTATGGGGTGGTAGGTCGCTCCATGTGCCGCTTGCAGGTGGTGGCTGTTTTGCACGGGCCTTGCCTCCCATCTACGTCTCATTCGTGACAACACCGATTCTAGGCTCTGCCTAGCTGACACATTCAGGTAAACGCCTCGACCAGTGGGCTAAACCAGATGACGGTATTCTGTGTTCACTACACCCAGTAATCCTGCTCACCCTACCATTTCTTCCACTTTAGTAAACTCATACGGAGAGGGCGACATGCAATCCCATGTGTGGCCCAGATTAGCTCGGGTTGTCTTTTCACCAAACAAAGTCCTCGTCCATTTTCCATTTCGGCAGTCGATTTGGATGTTTATGCAGTCCTATTTAGTGGTAACACTGCTTACTCCCTTTGCGGTCAGGTGGTTATAAAGGGTGGCTTAAAAAAATGCTGGGCAATATCACGTCATCTGCAAACTGAACGTGAATGGTTGATGTGCAACTTGTGGTCGAAAGAATACAACATGCAAGAACCCCCGTATCCATCTACACCCACAGGCTGTCACGTCGACTCTGTCCAACAGAGCAGCCTAGAAGGTTCCTTATATTTTAGACAATCCGCTGACAAACCGTTCGGAAGGGAAAAAAACGCTGGTGGCTCCGGAATTGGTGCATTACAAGATGAACATCGCTGCCATCAGCGATACCAGATTCTGTGAACAGGGGCAGCTGGAAGAGGTGAGTGTCAGCTACACGTTCTTCTGGGACGAACGCCCAAAGGTAGAACAACATGATGCTGGCGTCATTTTCCTCACTCGAAATAATATCGTGAGGTGACTGCCCTGTCTTCAGCTGGACATCAGAAACCCAAGCCCGCCCCTTCGGGGAAACCAAATTCGCTAACATCGTTAGCATTTACGCTCCCTCAATGACTAAATCCGACGAGGTGGTGAACAAGTTCTACGAAGAAATTCACGTCCTCCTGGCGACTGTTCCGAAGGGGGGTAAGCTGATTGTCTTTGTCGACTTCAGTGTCCGCGTCGGAACAGACCATGCTTCCTGAGACCGAGAGCTGGCCCTCCACAGAATCGGCGGCAACAATGATAACGGCATCCCGTTATACGAACCCGTGCGGAACGTCACCTCCTTCCAACCAGCACCTTTTTCCGCCTTCCGGCCCTGAGAGCTGATGGACTAAGTTCTCATCCGTACTCGCGACCACCACGACGTCCAGGTGGCATAGACGATCTGTAATTTAAATGACTGTGAGAAGGACTGCCTTGTCCTCTTCACGATGTTGCTACCTGGGTGGCTCGCGAGGCTGAAATCCGTGCCCATGCGGGCCCCAACCATACGAAGAATGTTTTCGACTTTTTCATGCGGTCTACGGCCCCCGTACCGCAAGAACTGCGCCAATGTCGTCTCTGAAAAAACAACGCTCTTCAGGGAGAACTCGCAGATTCTGACGCGCTCGGCCAGGCACTCCGTAAGCGTACTCAACTGCCTATCCACAAGCACCGATGACGCAATTATCATACGCCCCAGGTGGAACTGAACAATGACCTGGACCTTCCCTTTTCACTCACAGAAATTATGAAGTTAATACACTAACTTCGCAACGGAAAGTACCTGGGACTGGTTTAATTCCGGCCGAAATCTAGAACCATGGTGGGCCTCGGCTTACGGAAAAACTCACGTCGCTTCTCCAGGAGATTAACAGGAATGGCAAATCCGCCAGGACCTCAAGAGCGCCACCTTTATGCACACCTTCAAGCGCAAACGCAACCGATAGATCTGTGACAGCCATTGAGGAATCTCGCCGCTCAACATCCTCGGGAAGATCTGCGTCCGCGTTCTCTCGGTCATCCGAAACAGGTTAATTTTGACCCAACCGCCGCACAGTCAAAATGAGCTTCACAGCCCGACAACTGCAGGAAACGTGCCGAGAACTACATATCAGTTTCTGAACCACCTTCGTGGATATAATAAGCAATTTGGATACCGTGAACCGTGACAGACTCTGGAGGATCATGCCGAGATTCGGATGGCCGGAGCGACAGTTCCACGGCAGGACAATGGGACAAACACAGATGCATTCGCGACGACCGATGGAGTGAAGCAGGACTACGCACTCGTCCCCATCCTCTTCAGTCTCAGGCTCTCTACAACGCTGATAGACTTTCAACGTGATGAGCGTCCTGAGATCAACTTCGTCTGAGGGACCGATGACTAGGTTCCCGATATCCGATAAAGTCAAGCATCCACGCGAACAACAGCAACCGCTGTTCACGACCTCCTCTTCGCAGACGGTTAAATTATTAGTGTCACGACAGAAACAGTTGTGGAGAGCAGCATAGATATCTTAGTCTCCGGCCATGCAAATTTCAGGTTGACCATAAATATAGACAAAAGCGTGCTCATGTACCAACCACCACCAGAGAAAGAACACACAACATGAAGGATCAAAGTACGAGAAATTCAACTCGCGTTCGTGGAGAAATTCGCCTATCTAGGCAGTACTATTATATACGGCATCTAGATGGAAGACGGAATGACGATCCGAATCTCCAAACCAATCAGGGATTCGGAAGGCAATAGGGCTCAGTCTGGAACGGCCACGGACATCGACTAAACACGAAACGCAATATTTACAGGGCGTTAGTCCTGACGATGGTACTCAAAAGGACGTAGGCATGAACCGCCCACGCTAACAAAGCTAAAAAATGCAATCACTTTCCCTTCAGCTGTCTCGGGACAATATTAAAGCTGAGGTAGAAAGACAGGATAAACGACGTGGAGGTCCTGGAGCGCAGAGGGATCTTTAGCATTTCTGCTGTGCTGAGGCAGCTAAAACTATGTTGGAATACCCGCCTCGCGAGGATGGATGACGAGCTTCTATCCAAGCGACTCTTCTCGGAGACGTCGCTATGGATGCTTGCCGACAGGGAGGGCGAAAACGACGCTAAAAAGACACCGTGTGGACCTCCCTCAGGCAAATGGAAACCAACCCGGAGGCCCTTGAAGACATCACCTAGGACAGACCGGTCTGAAGAAGAGCAGTGAAGACTAGAACGGCAACCATTAAAGCTAACCGGGTCGCCGTTTCCAAAGCGTTGCGCACTCACGACCCCAGCAACCAACCCCCCTCCCTCCATGTCCACACTCTCAGCGGACATTCTGGACGTGGATCTTCCCCGTAGTACACCTTCGGACGCTATGCAATAACCGCATGTCAACTTCACACACTACTTCCAACAACGTCCTCATTGCCACGCATGCAGCAACTCCAACGACGCCTAGGATAGCGATCACCACAAACGGTGAATAAACCCCAGGCACCGCCACTGCTGCCCACCATCATTGGCGCAAGCCCCGCTCAACACCAGTGACGCCTACAACCACTCCCACAATCGGCGAGAACACTCCCGACGTCCTGCCAGCCGTCACCAACACCAGCAATACGGATTCAATCCCAGTTTGTCCATACTGCTATCGCACTTCCATATCACGCATAGGCCTGGTCGGTTATTTTTGAAGCAGAGAGCAGAATCTCCAAGTCAGGACTAAAGGCCATACTCCGTTCAGCAATCACGCTAGATCGATAACTAACATCCCCCACTTGCTCTCAAGTTTTTGGTGGCTAGACTACAGGTTGTATGCCCCTAACCAAACGACAAAGTGTTGTGCTCAATGAGCTAAGACAGCAAGTGTATGACTAGAGCCTTCCTGGCCTGCGGTTTTGAGTTTACTGGCTTGTAAATGAACCAGTGGCAGCCGTTCCGATCTTGGTCTTCGTCGTAATGGTCCTCAATCAAATTAAATTCCGAATTCTAGTTTCGTAAACACCCCACTGTGGATTACGGTACATGAGATTTTGCAGACTGCAATAAATAGTCTAAGCAGGAGTGACATCCGTCTAAATGACAAATGCATGCATAAAGAATGAGGATAGAGATAAACTTGCGGGGAAACGGCGTCCCATCATGAATGGTTCGTTGGGGTTACGTTGGCTCAATTCATATGCTAGGTTCTCCACAAACATGTAGGTATCATCATCAGCTTTGTAGAAGTAGTCATAATCGTTCCGGTACTGGTAAACATAACGCACTATCTTCCTCATCTTACTCCACAAGTGCATTCGACTTTCCGGTTTCGTGAGGTTAAGATCTGAAACAGCCAGTGGAAAAGAACGGGTTTCAGAGAGTACATATGTTATATCGCCATTCATCCCGAAAAAATGGAAGTGTACATAATGAAACTTGCGGCACTTGTGGCAAACTTTATTAACAGAGCTTACCATTAGTGAAACTTCGAAATAGAAAACTGGGTGGAGTCAGTCACTTCGCTAAGCCACTGATTTTTCAGCATTATCACAAAAAATTATCTATATGTGGGATATTTTTGAAGATTATGATCATAATTAGTGAATCATATCTATGTCCCGAGGGTGGAGCCACCTCCATCCGAACTGATTCCTGCTACTAGGAATTCCATGTGTGTTAGTGACGTATTAGATGAAATAGGCTTATTAACGACGATAGTCACACTGATTGGACCATCCATGTTGGTTGGTACTGTAAAAGTGGCAACAAATTTAAACTTTCAACCTCGCTAAAATTTGAAAATCCCTGATTTCGCAACCGACAGACAGAATAGGCTCCATATGCCGCTTTCGTGTCATTCCTGGCCACTGCGTCTCCCTGTTCATTCCTCCTGCTCTGCAAACAGTCTCCGAGCGAAATGCGTTAATTTGGAGAGCAGGTAAGCCCAGTCTCATTCCCAGACGTCTGAAAGACCTACACAGGTCACTGAAACATAGAGACGAGGTAGGGGTGAGTGAGACCGACCCAGCTCGAAATCAGTACTAAGATTTCTCACCACAATTAATCACACTGACACGACATACCGACAGCTGTGCCTTGGAATGATGTCAGCCGACGGTTTCTCGTTCCTCCATCGGAGGAACTGTCAGATTACAATGCCTCCTTACTTCGAGCCTGTCTCCGTTTCTTAGTGACTATTCCTCTTGTTTATCTGACAACCTTTAGCAAATATTATGGACTGTTTTCGAACATATTTATTTAAATGTACAGAACAGCAAAATGCAACCTGGCAGATGAAGCTAGCTAACATGATCGCTATTATATACTATAATTCTAGGAGGCAACCCCGAGATACGTGTTCTCACTTCGGCCTAGAACCCGAAGAAAAACATGGTCAGTCGCGTCCGGCATTTCTATAACCATTTCCGGGCGGTTTTAGAGCGCACAAGATACTGCGACAAGCCCCAACCAAGCTGAGTTTCGAGCTGAGTATAGATGTTCCGACCAAATATTCTCACTGAGGTCGCCGAGATCTTCACAGTTAGGCGCTGCCTCAACTAGTTTAAACCTGCAGAGAAATATTATTTTAAAATCCTTGGCAATAATCTTGTGGGTTCTAAATTATTTTCTTATGAAATCCTGTATTAGCAGTCAGTCCATTGTTGCAGATAGGGTATGTTCCAGCGTGAAGGATAGGAAAATCAAGCATTTCTCAATGCTTCGTGCTTGCTGTGTCCCCGAAAGAATTTATTCAGTATGTAAATTATGGATGGATACACTGTACTTACCACCCTGCTCCTTCGCCAATGAAATGTTAGGAGTGACTGGTGTTCTCACAGAATAAATCATTTCTCTAATTTACAGGCTACAGACAATTCCTAAGAGGACGAACACAGGGCAATCTGATGGTTGAAAACCATACCTCCATTTAGTTGAGAAAATGCAGAGGCGAGACTGTCGCGCAGGTATCTGTAAACGCCACCTAAGCGTGAATTTTAGTAGTCGCTGGAGTAGATGGGTTCACGCGATGTGACAATTGAATTATCACGGTTATGGTGCATGTCCTGCTCTCTGTGGCCTTCACCTGTCATTCTCGTCAACTATCACGTAATAAACTCTTGAAACTCCTCAAATTGTGTGGATCGGAGCGATGTGATTCAGTGTATTCGCTCGAAGATTACCGCAATGTGCCAGCTGTTACAAATGTCGATCTCATCTGAACAAATCTTTTAAATTTCACCGCTCTATCCATACAGGTCTGTTCTTTTCAAAAATTCTAAGTGGGAAATGCAACGCAGAATATTTCGCCTGCATCTTAGACCTTTATCTACATTCCCCCCTATTTATTGTTTATTAATTAAACGATGATTACCCCATCGCAAGCGCCGTCGACCTCGACTATGAAACACGAAGGCACACATACTGTTAAACTGGGGTTGTCTGAGTGTCCTAGGATGAAGCACGTATTTGGAGTAAACTATTGGTAAACGATTGTAAACCGCCCGGTAGTGCTCGAAAACTGCTAGCCTAGCAATCACCTCGTAAAGGGAAGTGAATCAAGAGAGGAGCGAGTGAGGCCCACCCAGCTCGAAATAAACACTAAGCTTTATCACTACGATTAATCACGCCAACGCGACCCACCAATATCTGTGGCTCGGAATAATGTCAGCCGACGGTTTCTCGTTCCTCCGTTGGAAATATTGACAGACTACAATGGCTCCTTAGTTTGGTCATCATGTGAGTTCCAAAGTCTCCTTATTGAATCATGTGCGTGCGGCGATTGGGAAAATATCGCGTATGGCATGTGTTGACAGGTAATTTTACTAATTCGGCCCCCACACTCACGTCCATCTACAGTCGTCTTGGCTTTTTCCTCGATATCGAACACCGTTGGGTGAGGCAGGTACATCGCAATTTAACTTGAGCACTTGTCAATATGCGTCACATACGAGACAATGGTGGTCTTCTTAGCTTCCTGTGAACGGATTATCACGTGAGAACCGGCGCCAAAGGCAATGATTGGGGGATGGGGCCACATTCCGGTTAATAGCCACAAAGTGATAACATGCAGGTAAATAAAAGGCGACCAATGCTTGCTGAAACTAGCCACCATTGCGCACATGAACCGAAGCCGCCCGTTCAACCAGCCGAAATAACGGGTAAGTCGACATTGAAATTTACTTTGAGAAGTGTGTAGTTTTGCAAGTCAGATATATAAAGAGATGTCGATTCAACTATGTGTGATCCTCCTTCGCAGGAAGACATGATCTATGCAGCACTGGGGCCGTAAAACCATAAGGATATCCGGAAGTGCTATATCCCTATGCAGTCCACAAATATTGTTCAAACACTGAGGTCCTGTTTTCGCGGGATGATTGCCAAGGTGTGGGGTTGTGGGCTCAACCATTCTTGAGTCTGGTTATGGGAAGTGATTTAAAGTGCAGGGGCTACTGCGTCAGATTTTCCGAACTCGACTGATCTGTCTATGCGGGTGTGTTATTTCCACGTAGTCTCAGTGCGAAATTCAACAGAGAATATTTCTTCTGCATCTTAGACTTGGAGCTACACCAACTCATATTTTAAAGTTATTCGTATGGCTCTGGGTATATGGTCGGACGTTCTGTCGACGTCGACCATGAGATACGGAGGCAAGCAAAGTTAAACCCAAAGTTGTCTGAGTGTCCTAGGAAGAAACAGGTATTCGGAGTAAACCATTAGAAAATGATTATAAACCGCGGAGTAGAGTTCGGAAACGGAAAGTCGAACAATCGCCAGGTGAAGGGAACTGAAGCAAAGGAATTCCGACTCTGTGAACTTGAAAAAACCAGACGCATTTTAAGCAGAAAACGAGAAGTCTTCATTTTGACTTACCGATGACCGGAATTGTCGGTTCCGTCTTGCTGCTGAAGAAAAGAACTTTTGTGCATCGACAAGCCCACGTTCGTTTGACGTGCAAAGCTTTTGTGAAGTATGTAGCAGGGACCGTGTTTATGTAGCAGAGGATGCGGGGTCTGGAGTGGGGTCTACAGTCTAAAGAGTAAAAAATAGAATATAAAAATTTGTCCCTCACAGACGAATAAGAAATATTCACTGTGGCAGACAGCTTTTCACTACGTCGTTTATGGCATGGAGACGAGTAGGTAGGTGGTACTTGTGCCCCAACGACCTCCAGCCAATAGACGGAAGACAGCGAGGGACCATGTTATTGTCACGCGTTTTTTCGCAAAGCCAAGGCGTCGAAAGAGGACACGAGCTAGTAATTCGTTCTAAAACTTCAGAATACGTCCAACAGTATATAGTAACTAGCTAACCAACAACTACTGCCTGCCTGTTGACAGTTTGTCAACGCTACGCATTTATTCCGTAGTTGTTCATGCATTTCAGCTCAAGCATTCATTTCAAATTTCGGACCACGAATTAAAAGCTTTCTTCCAACTTATTCCACGTTCACGCAATAAAGTCATCAGAAATAAAACAAGGCAACCAGCCAACTGTTCCAACACAGACAAAATTTCCCAGAAGGTCAAATATTATCCAGACCAATTATCTCAATAATACTTTTGAGACGTTGATAATTGGTCGATCTGAAGATTGAACAGGTCATGATCTCACCCTCGTCACTTGCTACTGTCGGTCTGAGGGTACTGTATGATGGCTTTACCTTTCATAATTGGCACACACACAATGCATGGATAGTCGGAAAAATGCCCATATTCACTGCGGTTGAATCTGCTTGGTATCGAGTCCGCGGAGTCATTCCTTAGGAGGCGGCATGAGGAGACTGAGCAAATCGCATATCGAATTGGCACTAATTTCGTCATTCCAGTTGCGCAATTTGGATACTAAGGGAGGAAGTTCTGACCGCCCATCTCTTTACTGATACGCGGCTATTGACAAATGGACTGACATAGAGGATAGCCTCAGAGATTGCAGGCTTGGATAACTATATTATGACATGACAAGCACGAGCAGTTACCCATGATGCTTTTCCTGCCACTGTCACATTTTAGGCTGGAGTTCAGTTGGAGAATTGACTATGTAACAAACACTTGCGGCATTATAATCACTCAAGCGCGTCCATCGAGATTTGCGACTTGTGCTTCGAATTTCCAGGACACGGACGAGTCAGTGCCTCAGTCAGGTTCTCGGGCGATGGCTAAGAAATTCAGTCAGTCTCGATGAAATCCATAGCTGTATATTACACCTTGAAAGGCGTGGAATACTGTCTGTTTACCAGCAGCGAACCGGCTCATTCGTGCACTTGTGCAACCCAGTATGAATACTGTCCGTCTATCGTAGGCAATCCGGCCAAACGACGGTCGCATGTTGTCAGTTCGCTTTCAACACTACTTTTGTGATGTCAATGACAAATCGGGTTTGTGTCTCGGCCCTTATGGACGCATAAAGTACGCGGGACGAGACCTCCCACAGACGTGTTCCGAATTAAGACCTTCCTAGTATTTTGAGAGACTGAAATACCGGGCAAGGCCAAGGTGTCACGAAGCGATTTTACTACTGCTCTGCGGTGGGAACCCGTTGCGCGAATAGTGAGAGGCCTTTTGGCCTTGCACTGTCATATCTGCGTGATTATGTCTCACAGCATAAACTTCGCGTGATCGTTAAAACCCTCCCAAATGCATCATAGAAAAATGATAGGAAGCATTATGCCTGTTCCGGTATCATTAATAAGAAAATTAGGCATTTTCCGACTAACTGTTCTTATTCTGCCTTCCAAGGGAATTTATTCAGGGTTAAAAGTATTGATACCCCAGGTAAAGACTGAAGCACTGCACTTACCGCTCAGCGCCGTGGGAGGCAAACTATTGAGGCTGACTCCTTGTGTTATCATGGAATAAGTTATGTTTCGAATTGACAGACTGCAGGCGATTCCCAAGAGGAAGTACAGGGGAAGCTGGTAGTTAGAAGTCGTAGCTGTCTTCATATGAACAAATACAGACGTGGGACTGCCGCACATGAACACCGGTGTCTCTGTAGAAGCCACTCGAGCGTGGGTTTAAATAACTGCTGCGTCAGATGTGATCATTGAAGAAACACAGTTACTTTTCCATGTTCTTTAACTCTCAGCGCTTATCACGTTGTATAGTGCTGTCGTGCGATTCTTTAATAGGGGTCGCGCCATTGGCTAAAGCTGGTAAAATGACGCAAGCAGACACATGGGGGTAGCATGACGGTGATGTAATGTCAGACACTACTGTGCTAGAGTAATCTAACTGACAGATTTAAATGTATGGGTCAATTTATTGAGTCGTTTAGAGAGGCCGTGCTTCTAGGCGCTGTTCTGGTTATGCTAGTGTTTCGACAAAAATATAAATGGGTGAGAACTCCTACCTCTGATATCGGTTTGCGCTTCCATCTTCAAAACATCCTACAGGGGATCGGAGTCCAGCTGAACTCCACAAGCAACAAGTAAATTACGCACTATTAAAACTGCTCTATTAAAAACTGCTCTATTAAAACTGCTCTAGACGAATAAATTGGTTTAACGAAATACAAACCAACGGGATAAAACATCTGATCACTAGATTGTCCCGGTAATTAATTTGCAAAAAAAGTAACTATAACAATCACTGGCATAAATGTAATCTAGACGCTGATATTTAGATAGGACAGACGAATAAGCACCCCGCCCTGTATTACAGGTGGCCTAGCGTCAAATTCCGGGAGGTGATTGGGTTACGCTTAAAGTTATGTTTAGGGTTGACTTTAGGAAGACGTTTGAGGGTGCGCTTAGTGTTAGAGTTGAGGCTAAGGTTAGTGATTGTGTTAGAGCAGGGGTGAGGGCATGGTAATAGGTACTCCCTGGAATTGAACGTTAATTTGCATGTACT